TTTTTAATAAATATAATTTATAAATAAGTATAATTTTTAATAAATACTCTAAACACTTTATTCTCCCAACAAGCACTCTTATGAATGATAAGAGGCTTTCTTTTGTGACGACACTACTACATTTCACTTTGCCCACGTTTCCCTATGCGTTATTTCTTTTAATCTGCATCGAAGACAAATGATTAAACAAGTATACAGAACAGTTTTAATACGTTTACTTCAACTCGACCGTTGTATTTTATTACTTAATGGAAAACATGTTTTGCAAAAATGTTGCAGAGATTCGTTTGTCTGTAGTTTTATATTTCCTTCGCTTCTGTCGAAACAACTGTTGAAATTTGATGTAAAGTTCTAACGTAAAATTCATTTTCTACATTAAAGTAATACTAAATATTTTGAAAGAAATAAGACTAGATTGTACATTTTCATTTATCTATAAAATTGTTTAATTCTCTCTATAATCGCCATACACATTCACATTTCACACCTACATGGAATGGACGCTGAAAAATTATATTTTGAATTTTATAAAATGTTATTTTATACATTCGCGTACACAAATGATATAGGCACGCTCCTTCAGATTGTTACATTTGGCAGTAAATAACATTCTTCAATTCCACAAGATCGTCGATATCAAAAATAGTTTGAAAATCTGCTAAGATATCTGACGTTTCACTTATCCTAGATATAAATTTTGCTTCTTTGTTTTTGTTTTCTTGGAACAAACATACACATACTGATTAACACTGTTAACAATCAACGGATAGAAAAACTGTTGGAATATGAAATCGATGTGCTTCAACGTTCATGAAGGGGAAACAACGATTCGCTGATCTTAGAACTGCAGATACAATAGTGTAATAAATAAAACGCGGAATGATCTCAGTATTACTTATACATATGTACACCTAATTGTTCTATGAAAATCCATGGTTTTCAATTTCGTTACTTCCCGCGCACTTTTTCTCCTAACTTTCTGACAAACTCTAGGCAATTAGTATTAATTGCAGCCTTCGTTCAAAATGTCGCTTCTGCTTCGACATCTTTTGGATTCTTCTTTATCTTATGTAGTTTCCTATAACAATTTCGAGAAAAATTCATGAAAACTGTAAAGTTGAAGATGTTAATAAAGTACGAACATTTATAAAAGCAGGATGTATCAGCAACAATCAAGTGTATTCTAAGTTTTGAAAATTCTACTAACTTCCCAAAGTTTTCACCGTCCTCTAGGGTTTCCGGAAGCTTGCATCCAACAGTTTCCGGCAGTAAGAAGCAAAGTGTTGCACCAATAAGTGGAAGAATTCCAAAACAAGCCGGTGGCAACCAGCTTTGAATGTGATCCTTCGTTAAAGAAAATTCAAATTTACCATTCAAGTCTCCAAATAGTATTTACAATTTTTGATATACAAATTTGATTTATAAATTCAACGAAAATAAATACATTTCTTAACGTACTTGGTATTAATTATAACAAAATTTATTCATTTTTCCACGAAACTAATGAAAGTGATGAAAACAGATTAATGCTAGTTATGTTCACAGAAAAAAAAAAAGAAATATAGTAATCATCGATAACATTAATGTCAGTCGTTCTAAAAAGAAAAACATAGTATTTCATTCTGATAATACTGAAACACTCGCTAAATACCAGTCGCTAAAATTTTATGGTACATTATCTTGAGCACATTTACCGTCGTTGCACCTGCTTTTACAACCACAGTAAAATCAACAACAGAATGATCTCGCATCATTTTCCTCTAACTTACCAAAGAAACGACGAAAGGCGCGATAATGGATCCTATTCTAGCGCACATGCTGCTGGTGCCCACTCCAATGTTCCTAACAACAGTGGGGAATAATTCACCGGAGAATAGATAAACAGTGGTGAAGGAGACAGACATACCAACGATGGCGGAACAGACTAGAATTAATCGAAGCCACGTGACATCTGTGAAGAAATTCAAATGTTAATCGATAAAACAAGACACGTTATTGCGTTATTTAACAATTCGCAAGTGCTAATGAATGACAAGAAAGACACTTGAATTTCAACGAATATACATTTACCATTTGGAACTACGATGAGTAAGAATGCGGCGACGCCAGTAATTGAGTTGCTACAGATAAGTGTAATCCGTCTGCCAAGTCTGTTCATCGCCCACCAAGCGACGAAGTTACCTGGTATCTGTATAGCGCCCGAAACAGTGAAATTCACGAAAATATCACCACCTACTTGGCCTATGTATTGAGACATTCCGAATAGTCCCATTCCGCAAACGATCCAATTAAAGAAAATTGACAGAGATTTCACTCTCATGTTGGGCGTACGAAACAGGTCCAGAAACGATGCCCGGTGATCTAAATTTGATCGCTTAGAGTTCTGCGAAAAGATCGAACGTTAACAGGTGAAATATATATTCTGAAATATCTTTTGTTACATGTTAACATACCAGAAGTTACTTAAGACTATTGAGTACAGTAGAATCCCTCTTATCCGGCAAATAGCTTACGTAGAAACAGATTGCGATTTTTTTATAGTAGTAATGGACTTCGACATAAGGCAATCGGCAATTGTTGCATATCAAACACATCGTCAACCGTATCGAAGCTCATTGACATATTATATTATATTTAGATTTTATTTTATTTACAACCTATAAGTGATATCGTCGGATTAACTGGTTATTCGTTTATTCGGCTAGAGATCTGGTCCCATAAAGGCCCGTTAAAAGGAAGTCTACTGTACATGTCAGGATAATCAAATTTAAAAAATTGTGCAATAAGGTAGTTTTGTTACTACGCTCAGCGTTGAGTGATTATAGTCGTCTTTAAGATATAACGAGATGGTTGGAGATGTTTGGTTGACTATAGTCACCATTAGTAACGAAAGGGTTAAAATAAGTACTCTTCGTTCAAATTCTACGATTACATTTTAATGTTCTTCATCCCTTTACAGCTACCCTTGGAGAGATTAAAAAAAAAAAAGTAGAAGACTAAACAGTAAAAACTTTACCTGATGCAAACAGTGCTGCCTGACCATCTCTGGAATGTCCTTGTCTCGAATATTATTAATATTCGCCGCTTTTTGCAGGATCTCACAAGCTGCTCGCTGTTTTCCAAAAGCGAGCAACCATCTGGGGGATTCAGGTACGATCCACCAGTAACTGAGAAGAATTACCGATGGTAACGTTATGGCGACTTGAAGATGTTGCCAATGACGGAAGAAAAATGCAAGTCCAGCTAGCGACATATGACCCAAGCTAAATGGAATTTGGTAAAGTATCGTGATCGCCGCTCGCCATTTCGTACCAACTATTTCCATACCTGTCAATTGTTTATGCGAATAATAAAAAATGCTCTTCAAAAGAAATTAATAGCAAGTAGGTACAAATAAAAATAGTGTGATAATTAATACGTTTAGTACGAACTTTGAATGAACCAATACTTGAAGTTCAATTAATCATACACGATGTTTGTATGAGAATCGTTACTTACAAATGACATAACTGGTGACCATTGTTCCTCCAGTAGCCAAGGCGCTAAGTAATTTCATTACTAACAGCGCTGGAAACCAAGGCACTACAGCACATCCGATACCGGAAACCAGTTGAAGAACTACAGATACCATCAACGGCATCTTTCTCCCGTACCTAATATAAAAATTCGTACATTATTATCTTTTTCGTAATCGTCATTACGCCTGAACACCGATAATACACAGATTTGAACATGCGCAAGTTCGTTTGACAAAAAGGGAATTAATATAATCTGTACCTATCTGCTAGATTGCCAAATATAACATTTCCCAAAAGCACGCCCAACATCAAAATAGATTGCTGGATATTGGCGTAATGTGTTCGACTGCATACTAAGTTCCACTGAAATAATGTAATCATAAAACAGACACGGTTTAGAACGATTTGTAGAAATAAAAGTAGCACTCCAATGAAAAATAATGATAAACATTCTCAGAGATGTTTTGTTACGTGATGAAATCATAAAATTCTTACCATATCCATGCAACTATTTTTACAATAAACAAAAAATAAACAAAAATTAGGGAAATTTCTATGATATAGTATCTACATTAAATACAATTGCAAAAACAAATGATTTCGAAATCATGTCATTACGTAATAATGCATCATACATGATGATAAATGATTTTTTTTTTTAAATTCATTACTTCTACGCTATTTCGAATAAATATAACTACTATTTTAGACTATATCAGTACAAGTAGCCCGGTGAACGCCGAGCATAATTTTCTCACTCACTTGTTTCAAGTATCCAACTATTTATATCATACGTTATGCATTATGTTAAATATACTTTCACGATACCCAGCATACTAAACAAAACTAAACTACGTCACTATTTAAAAACATACTGACCGAGCTGATTTTCACACTTACCCAATAAACGATTTAACATCATCTCAAACGCATCTAAATCGTGTTTAATTACATTTTTTATTTTACTTTTTTGCGCTTAACGTCCATCGTGTATATTCCGCTTTTTTTTCTATTATTCCATTCAAGAAACGTGAACGCCACGCAACGTTCGTCGTAATTTACTTAAGCAATGTATTAAGCAAGAAAGAATCATTAAAAACAATCTATTTAACTCCGTCACTGTAATTTAAGGCAACGATTACCGCCGCTTCCGGTTTCATCCTCAACAAAATGGAACAAAATAGTGTAATCGTGTGCGAAATATTTTCGACAGTTACCTGCGATATTATCGTCTCTGTGAACGTTCTCCTGTCGTACTCCCACTCTGTGCAATCTGCCATCGTTCCATTGACATAGACTACGCACTGACCAGGTATTTCCGTGCGTGCTGGTGCGGTGCAGTAGTAGTCTTGATGTGGCGCCATGAAGACGATCGCGAGCTGATGCCAAGCGATCGGGAACTTGACCAGAGAGATTGCGAGGCAAACGAATATTTGCCATTTACCAAGGTTCCCGATAGCTTCTTGCACGGCATCGACCTCATCATCTCCATTGTCGGCATTGTCTTCCTTGCCATTCGAAACTTGCTTGCCATTCACTTCCGCTGCACAACAGAAAAAAATGTTGTCCCTTGTAATTACTCTACATATGCTGAAAATGAATCGAAATCTTCAAATCACTTGAATGATTTCTCTGTAGATTGAACACTGGCGACGCTTAACCCTTTCACTCCTGATGGCGCCTTTCGGCACACTTTCACCTTAATTTTCGTTCTTTGCGCACTTCCACAGTAATTTACTAAAAGAAATTACAAATTTTTATTGAAGATTCTTTTCCTTTATTTTAAAGCGCCACGACGAAAGATTTTAACGCTAAGATTTGCCGCAGCGAAAGGGTTAAGGCGGTGCGCCACTCTGAGGCTTGTAAAAGTAGGTCAAAGTTTGGGAATTTTTTTCATAGGTAACTACCAAATGGAAAATAAGCTTTTTTCCTGCAATTTCTTCGAAAGTAGGAATATCACAAAATGGAGGGGTTATTAGGAGACCCCTTCTGCTAGAAGATCGATTTCTGTCCGATTGAGACAGCGATGTTTCCTATTTGGAATAACATATTCGTAATTTGCACATGTACACGATTCTTACTTATTTTCTGCACCTCCCGCACGACCTCGTTCCACAAATTTTCAAGAATGAATGTGCTACGCTGATTTACGCTTTCGTTCTTTCGAACACTATTACTGTTAATTAGCGCTGCACTAGAAACTTTGTCACCATCCATGCTTCAAGTTAATCATTATTTGATGCGACACAAAACAAACAGACCTTCTTTCATGCGTAACGTAGAGCTTAATACTAAAGCGAGAGATAAAAAGACGGTGCTACTGGTGCTACTATCAAAGTTATTTTAACCTTTAACTGAGGACAAAGTATTAAACTTTCCTCATACATAAGATTAGCTTATTTTTCGCTCGTTTGTGTTTCAATACATATGACAAGTCTAAAGTAACAATTTATTTTAGATAAATATTCTTTCGGCTATTCGAACATACATTTTCTCCGCTGTTTAGACGGCCTATATATATTTGTAAGATGTTAGCATTGGGAAAGTATTTGTGAAATATAATGATTCTGCACAATACATATAATCTATTTTTTCAAATATGAAAAAGTCATATTAGAACTATTTCAGATATACTCGCATCTATTGTTGATGCGTTGCAAATTAAAAAATTCGACTTCCGTGTGCACGAATAAAAGAGAGCATTATGAATATAATACAATACGAAAAATGAGAAATATTTTAATACTCATAATTTCACGAAACGAGACAAAACAATAGTCTGAGTAATCTTTGACTTTAATCACCGATAAAAATTTTTTAAGAATTCCGTAAATTAATTACACATACTTAACGAATCAGCTAGGGTAACATGTCGAAAAGGAACATATCACAAGAACGGAAAGTAATAACTTGTAAAATCTCAAATGATGCAGTGAAACGATCTTTTACTTCGAAACACGCAGTTATACACGCGGTACATTGTTATTTTAGCCATACCTCTCTATCAATTTGCGTGAGGTATTGAGTCGCTTAATAAACTAACAACGTACACAATTGAAGACAATGAAAATTGTAGGATCAAACGTTTATTAAACGTAATAACCGTAAATAAAGATTGCTCGATGGAAAACATGCATCTATAGTAGCAACGAGTACGAAGGCTAACTGAAACTAGCAATTAAAAGAATGGAAGATTACGATTCACTGTTGCGTTAATGATTTTGACCTTTTCACTGTTTTTTATTTTTTTTTTTTCATTCAAGCGTATACAGTTCGACCTCGTTGCTTAATTATTGTTTAATCAGTTGCTGATATACCTTTCCTTTTATTAAAATGCGCCGACAGACGTTCATATTTTTCTATCGTTCACAGTTGCCTAACATTCGGTCTCGCCATCGTGGCATCGCAAGAAAAATTGACTAAACGTTTTGACAACAAGATAATCTTGAAAAGAGGTATAACAACGAGAAGAAAGCATACGTGTAAGTGTGATTTGATGCAAAAGTAATAGTATTTTGTTATCTATAGTGTTCAAAAAAATTGGCAAACTACTAAAATGGAAAGAAAAAGATTGTTAATGTATTTCATATGTTATTATCACTTTTTAATTTACATTTTTATTTTGACAAAATTCTACAATCATTCGTGTCATTCCAGACATTTATTTTAGCAATTTTTCAATTATGCTTCCAATAGTACGTTCTGGATTTTTTCTTCTTTTTTAAATTGGAAACTGTTTACACTCCATTTGAAATTTCCTCTTTTTTATCACTGACTGGTGTATCGTTGATTTATTGCTTTTACGTAGGCAAAATCAACACTCGGAGAGTTTAATGATGCGGTAGGCAATTTAAACTGCAATTTACACTTGCAGGTAAATAGCAATTACACATGAAATGTGTGCAACGAAACGGCTGTTACAACTGTGTCCTTCTTAAACGGCGACATACAATCATTATTATCATCTGAAAACTTTCAAACGTGTTACAAATAAGTTGAGAATGAAGAAATTTTTCTCCTAATCTTCTGTAATGCTCTTAAATTTCAAATGATACATCATCGTGATTGAAAAAGAAGTGAAAATTTTCGTATCTCCAAAATATTGTAATTTTCAATTGAAGAATTCAGAATTCTAAATTATGAAAATTATCATGAATTATTTCCTATTCGAAGATTTCGTTCAATTCTCCTTCTAACGAAGCCCCTTGAGAAATATCTTTTCAAAAGTCTAGTTTCTTGGAGAAGCATTTTTAATTCTCGTCATTTCGAAGATAATCGAACCATAACATTTACTGACCCCTCCGTTGCGACGACGAAAATGGGATTAAATATTGTAATAAAGAACTCAGATACGGGCGTGAGTGTCGATAGCTAGATAACGCTTATCAATCGCGTAATTCTCATTAAGCGTTTCAAATAACGTGGACTATTTCCATAAAATTTCCAGCTTATATCAGCTTGTGTTCTTTCATAACTGTATTGACACTGCAGTTTAGCTGTTTAAAACGTGTCGACAGTTGCATTTAAGTTGTTAATAAGACGCTTAATCGTCCACGTGCGTTATTAGAGGCATGCACATGGATAGCGCGGTTTAATCAGATCTTCTATTTGATTTGCGATCAAGATGAGTTGATGAATTACGTAAAGCTCCGATGTTTAACATATTCGTATACATGTCTATCGAGTGTCGTCAAAGATGCGAGATTAATCGAACTGCGCACATCTTCGAGGAACGACAGCGAGTAAACAATACAGTTGTTCACCATTTAAATTATAAAAATAGACGTACAATGAAATAAGGTAGTACTCCACTAATTGACATATCCACGTGAAACGGTTAAGTTGAGATGTTACCATGTACAGGGTGTTCGTGTAGTTATTAGTCGGTGTTTTTATCAATAAAAGATATTAATACACACAATGTTGCGAAATGTTGAAATTGTTTCTTTCATTCCTGAACTTGTGCGGCTTCAAAGGTCGTTGTGTCACGTATTGTTGAATTCGTTTTGACATTTACTTTCATATCGTGGAAAAGAAATATAAAAATATACACAGTATATCGCGTAAAAAATTGAAGCTCACACTTTTCCTCCTTCACTGTTTTCGCTTTCTTTTTCAGATTTATGAGAAATTTATGAAGAAAACACTGATTAGTAATTACGTGGACACCCGGTATACCGTTAATTAATTATACGGTCTTTGAATAACAAGTATACGGAATTTCTTAAGAAAGCAGTAAAATGCTACAATAATATCAAATTTAAATACTTATCGAATTAGTTGGAGATTGTTAATCTGTTAAAACTACACTGTACAACACGATTACAACTTTGCAAATTTAAGTTCATTAACACGTTGCTAAGCGACGTGCATGATTTGAATTATTTCAGACAGGTATAAGTACAGTGTTTGAAATTGAAGTGTCACGGCTGTAATGGTTTGCAAATTTCTTGTCAAGCTCGCCTTTCCATGACAGAAAATAACAAGAACAGGCAATTAATGAGACAAAATGAAAGCGTGGACGGAATCCTTGAAGGCATGTAGATTAGTATCCGGAAAAATTTCCGTCTTCTGATACGGTCTCGTTTTAGCCACGGCACATATAATTAGAAAGCTAATTTTTCCCGCTTATAAGATATAATGCACAGTGGAACAAACCAGTTCACGGGGCAACGAACACTTGGAACACTATAATATTGTATAATGACAGAATGGAAGTCAGTTCTAATTACGCATTAATAGAGATTTAATGTGATTTAAATTGTACGAGTAATATATTTTTCTGTGCTTCTTAGTAGTTCAGAAAGAAAACATTCAACATTCGTGCTTTCGCAATTTTCAAATAGGTTCTTTGCTACCGTGAAACGTAATTAAAATCATTTTCAAACATTATTTCGTATATTCACACATTTCCAAAGCTTCCACGCGAAAGCTATCCTTCTAAACTAATTTCTTAAAAAAAATACACACTTATGCTGTTTAATCTTCGAACAACTTAAATCTCCCTATTTTTCACAATAATCACGACGATCTAAAAATCATACCGTACAATTTACAATATTTTAAAACATTTTCCACAATATGTTTATTTTCACTTTCCAAGCTCAATTCCTCTAATTTACATGCAACGCGAGAAAAAGGAAAGTAAAGGCGAAGCGATAAGCAGATTTCCGAGAAAAGAAACATAACTACTCTCTGTTCGATAAATCCATGTGTTGCAGTGGAATTTCTTAGAAATCGATTTGAACGCGAAAGATTCACCCCGGGTAACCGCTAATGAGATAACGGTTGCAGGGAAAATAAAAGAGAGAGAGAGAGAGCGGTATCGTAATTAAACTGTTTGCTCTAGATCAATTACCGTTCATTTGTATTCGTCACTTCTCCGCGACAAACGCTGTCGTCGGAAACCGGCTACGCGATTGCCGTCTTGCGCAACAAAGTGGGTGTGCGCCGAAAAGGGAAGTCCGATTGGTCGATCGCGCACACTCTTATCGGTGCTTCGATACAACCGTTCACATATGTTTTGCATGTCAACGGTATTGC